AACAATTCCCCTATCTAATAGAAAGATTAGATAAGGTTTATATTACCTAGGTTCTTAGTTCCTTATAAGGGCGAGCCCCTATAGTTAATTACATATTAAGCGACTAAAGTCACTTAAGAAAACTCTTGATAATGATTAGGGGTTTCGTCTTCAAGAATCTAAAGTTAAGTTTTCACGGTTATTTATAGAAAGAATCAAATGGGAAGGGCTCAAGTAGGAATAGTTACTTCGGAGACCAGTGGAGCAAGAGATAGGGGATGTCACAGACTTTGAGCCGAATCTCAATGATTCCCAAACTATCCTATTATTTGACTTTAAATTTTGGGAATGATGTTATTTGAATGTTTACTCCTGCAAATTATTTAAAATTAGGGTTGAAATTTGCATTACACAGTCATACAAATAGGCTAGGAAAATATAAGGGTTTACTTCATACCAAACAAACAACCTCGGAATCCTGAAAAAGTTAGGGCTTATATTACACAACATGATTGTGCAGATTCTTAAAGTTAAAGTGAGAATTTACGTCGTGCTAGATGAATAACCTTAAAACCCTAAGGGTTTGTGTTATTAGAGACTATGGAAAATTCAGTAAAGGTAAATATGCTTCACCATTGGGTTTTGATCGTCATCTGAAGTCGTCCTCCATCTACTTGTAGCTCATTCTGAACTTTTTGTAGTGATGGTTTCAGATTTAGGGTTTATGTTTGAACTTGTGATTATTTTTGGGTCTTGGAGCTTGACGTAGGGTTCCTTTTGAACAGGTGGCTACTGGTCTTTGCGGGAATATTAAATTATGCATAAACAAAACATGTTGTAAGGTACAGTAAAAGAAAAGTAATAGCACATACATGCCGCCTTCGACGCGACTGCTAAAAAGTTAGCAATATAAACATAACATGCAAATGTACATAAGTTAAACAGAACATGAGGAAACATGAGCAGGTGGATCAAGTTAAATAACACATATAGAAGATCAAGGCTAGGTGTAAGAGTTTAAGTTGTGGGGGGACTCGGAATCAGGACCAAGCCATAACCATTTCTCGAGGGACATCCGTACGCAACCATCATCATCATGTATATGAGACCCAACATAAGGTAAAAGACTATCATCGAGGTAATCAATGGATGGTAACCCTCAGCCAGGTCTATGTAATTGACACACGAACTTACCAAAAATAACACTAAAAAAATTTGTAGTTTGTCATACGTATAAATAATTTAAGTTTTTATTTTAGCAGGTAAAATATATAAGTGTTATTCGAAAATATGTTGTAATATATGTTCACGCATTTTTGTAAATTAGACAATTCATGAGTTAGTCACACTAATGGGTTAAAACAACCAACAACACATGAGAGCAAGGGAAGCCCTCTATTAAATGTTGGTGAATAATGGTATCAATCATGCACCCTGACGAGGTCCTCGGGTTTAGGAAATACAAAACATGTTGTAAGTGCTTTGAAGCACAACCATCCATGCAAGTATACATGTCAATCAAGTAATATATATATATATATATAATTCTGTGTATCAATCCTATGAGGAACTTATGAGGTTACATTGAACATGAAGTTCAATTATTAGGTAGCAAGTAATGGGGGATAATGGTAACAATTATCCTATGAGGAACTTATGAGGTTATACAAAAAATAGAACATATGAAGTTACATTGAACATGAAGTTGAATTATCAGGTAGCAATTATAAAATTGTATTCATCATCTCAATCGAAAAAGAAATGATTATAAAGTAATTTACTCCAATTTGGTCTCTTTTAAGTATAGCAAAGTAGCAAGTAATGGAGGGATAATGTTAGTGGTTTGGTAATGCTAGTTGAGCGCAATAGTCGGATAATAATAGTTGGGTGGTTGGATGAAGATTGTGGAATAATAATATTGAGCTATGGTGGTCAAGTGGTGATATTTAGGCAATGACAATCATATTATAACAATCGAATAATGACATTAAGATGATGGGGTTATTTCCTATGGTTGTAAGTGATAAGTGCCGGGTGGAGTTTATAGTTCTCCAAATCTCTAAAATTTCTACAAGCTTAATTCTTGATCATCTCATATGAAGAATGAGTTTTATCTATAATTATTGATAATGGTATTTTATTTAGCTAGCAAAAATGTTCCTGAACTCACAATTGGATGACTCAAATTGATCATATTATAAATTCTTTAAAAACTTAAGCATCATACTGATCTTGAATTGGAATTACAGCCCTCTCGTCAAAACAATCAATTTGATCATAAATAATAAGATTCAAAAAAAAAATTACACTTTCATCAAGGTCGACTACGTTTTAAATTCTTTATCTTGATTTGTTTAAATATAGATCAAATCTTTTTAATGTTATTGGGTTTATCTCATTAAAGTGCTCATTTTGACTATAAATTTGCAAAAACAGTATGTTGAATGGTCATAAGTTTAATTATGATAGCTTTTAAATCAAAAGTTGCATGAAGATGCATGTTTGATCAAATATATTTTCTAGAAGTATATAAATACTAATTATATATTTTGAGCAAATATTTATCAAAATATTTTCAAGGGATATATATATATATATATACCCCACAAATCCAAAGATACAATCCAAAGATACTTAAATATTTAGTACTTAAACTTTATACTTATTTACACATTCTATTAGTGTTTAAATCTCATCAAAATATATGCATGAAATGATACACTTTTTGTGTAATATAGATTAATGTTAATATTTATGCATTAGATCTATAAAATACAAATAAGTTTTATGGTATATGTGAATCCCCAAAAATTTCTTAGACCCAAATACCTTGATGAAGTATAGCACCTTTTATTCATGAATAGTATTTAAAATTTATTCTAAACAAAATTCTCTTTATTGACATATACTATCTTTTTTAATTGAGATTAAGTTTGCTAAAGTCAAACCTAATTAATCCATTCTTAGATTAAACTTTATGTATTTGTAATTGACAAGCGATTTTAGAAACAAATTCATGACCAAAAAAAAAAAAAAAGAAAAGAAAAGAAAAGGATGAAAGCTTATCTCTACCATCATTGCCAATCTCATCAACAATTGAAAAAAGAGGAAAAAAAAGTTATCTTAAACAACCAGATGGAACACATGTGAAAGTGAAATTAGAAATGGACAAATAAATCAATCAATCAATCACAATCAGCCTCACCAATTTTATATGTACTTAAATCATAATCTACGAAACATGCTATATATGCTAAACTTAAGTAAATTTATCACCCATAAAAAAACAAGCCATGGGGATCATTCCTCATAAATTTCAATGAATATGAACTATAAAACAATCTCAGTCATTGAGATTATTTTACGGAAAAATACTTGAAATAAATATTGTGTCCAAATTAAAATACCAGTATTATTTTTTGCATTATAAAGGGAAAGAAGTCAAATTTAAAAATAAAAAATAGGATGAGTATCTCTACAAAAAATATATTTTTTTATTTATTTGAGGGAGGTAAAACGTATATAATAATTAATATTAATTATTTCTGTAGGAAATTTTTTTCATCAAAGAAGATAATACAGTATGGAGAGTGGTCAATAGTTCCTCAAAACACCCATACAGCTCACACACAAAAAAAAAAAATGAAAAAACCTGGGAAATTTTGTCCACATTATAACAAACAAAAATCAGAAAAAAAAAATCAATTTTTAGCACGAATAAAAGTGATATTAACATTATCGAACTTAATCAGCCGAGCAAGATCCAGAGGTACCTTATTAGAAAAAATGACTTCTTGGGACTTCAAGCCTTTCCTTGCCGCCCAATCTGCACATTTATTCCCAATCTGCACATTTAAAGAACCAACACGCATGTACAAAATTCAATTAAGCAAAGTTTCCCTTCAACTGGATAATAAGGTTCCAAGGATAAACCTTCTTCCTACAACAATAATTCCACAAGTCAATAGAATCCATTTCAATGCTAATATAACTCAAATCACACCTTATCGCAAATTCTAACCCAACAATAACAGCTTCAGCTTCAGCTATAATCGGGGAAGAGGCTACAAGAGGAGCAGAGAACCAATAAATACATTTACCAACAAAATCCCTGCAAATACCACCTATACCAGCAGCTACCTGAGACCAACTGCCGTCAATATTAAATTTCATAACACCTTTATTAATCAGGAGCTTTCCAAACAACCAGTTTAATCACTGGTTTAATCTTCCTCACATGAGGAATGTTAAACTTATGAAACATATTCTGCACACTATATTAACATAATACTTAAAATTTCCAAATTTCAACAATTTATAAACAAAGCTTTTAATATAAAAGAAACAAGTGTATTTAGAAACAACTTTTCCAACCTGTTTGTATTCATTTCTTGTAATCCAGATACACCAAGAGACTACTAAAGTAATAGAAGCAAACAGAACATTACCATTCTTCTTCCATTCAGTGATCAAGCCATTAACAGAATTACAGTTGTGTCTATTCCAATTTTTATCAAACAGAGAAAATACCATATCCCAAACCTCTACAGTAGAAGAGCAGCTGCAGAAAAAATGATCCACTCCTTCATGCATCTTACACATATGACAGATTGAAGGAAAACTTAAACCTTTAGATTTTAAAGCATCATCAATAGGCATAATTCTAGGTAAAAGTCTCCAAAAGAGCAAAATTGAGCAGGTTTTACCAAAGCATTCCAAGCCCTTTTAATATCCATGTAACAAAAGTTTTAGAAACAGATTTATCAAGGCAGCCTATAATTTTAACATTGTCCTAAACCCCTTTTGATAGGAATTTTAGAAATTTTAGCAGCATCTTCCTTATAATTATTTTTTTCAATTTATCTGATTTTTACTGAGCTATATAAGAAAAAAAAAAGCTAACTTGGATCTTTTCATGTAATTTTCTTTAGAAGTTCAACAAGAACTAATATTTGGATAGCCAAATGGGAGATTATATAGAATAATTGGATAAAACATGCTCATACACACGTATTATCCAATGATTCAGACTAATTTCTGGGCTCTTATTTGAGAGATGAACACAGATCAAATACATTTCCATGGAATTAAAATACAAAAACAAATAATTTACATAAAAATTAGCACGAATTTTATAACCGGGCGAAATGGAGAAAAAAAAATAAAAAATAGACAGGCGCATTACGGTAAGAGAGAGAGGGAGAGAGAAGGGATGCGGCGAGGAATCAGCTTGGAATCGGACTACCAGAGGCGGACTCTGCTGCATTCGCCACCGGAACTCCGGCGAAACCTGAAAGCTTTTCTGCAAGACTGGTCATGGCACGGACCTGCATCTCGACCGCCGCGATGTAATCGGCAGCCTCTTCGAGCACCGAAGACAGAGACAGCTTCCGGCAACCCGGAACCAACCGCCCTAGAAATTTCACTTTCCTCTCAACCGCCGGAATCGTCCCCCCTCTTCTTCCCGCACCAAACAGCTTCGACCGCCGCTCTCCAACACCGGCAGGCCGGATTCGCCGATTCTTGCGCAGGGTGGATCGGCCCCCGGAAAGAATCGCCTTGCTCCACCGCGTTCGTCCACCAGCGGTAACCGCCAGAGCCCGATCTGCGGCCTCTCTGATGGATCGGCCATTTGGCTTCATCGGAGAATCGGTACGACGTATGCGGCGCAGAGCAGCGTATAGCTTCGCAGAGTAAATCCGATTTTGGTTACTATTTCTCCAACGGGACGGCAATAGCTGTGTCGCTGTTGATCCTCTGTGCTTCCGGATTCTACTTTGATCTTTTGCTGGATTCAGAATCTCGTTCCGGTGATTGTCCGGAGAATCGGTAAAGATCATCTTAGGTGGTGATAGATGGGATCGGATTTGCTTCAAAGATGCAAAAGCATATCCCTAAATTCTTTCACCGGATCTTTGACTGAAGATCTGTCTACAATCTAGGGCAGAAGAACTCTCAGAGTATACCGATTTGTAGGAGATTAAAGTGGTACAGAGCAAAAGATAAGAAAAAATACCTCCTCGATTGCCCTCGAAGAATCAAAGCAGACGGAGGGGGGGCAAGCAGCCAAGGAATCCGGGACGGTAAGAGGAGAGATGCAGAGGATGCAGAGGAACAGAGCAAGCACGGAGAGAGACAGCATGTGACTTTGTTATATAGGCCCTATGGGTAATTAAGGCGATGCTCTTTTCGGGAATGCTAACGCTAAAATAAATTTTTATTTAAATTAATTTCACATTATTTAATAATATAAATTTCATGGAACAAATTTTAATATAATAAGTTAATGTTTATTTTCTATTTTATTGTTTATGATTTTCAATAATTTTTAGTGAAATTTAATTCCATATCATATATTTGATATTTATATTTATTATAAATTTATATATAAAAAGTCATACTTCACTTTTAAAGATTAATAACAGTAAAATTATTTAGGTTGGAGTTTTAGAAAGTCAGATAGATAAATAAGTGAATTTACTGTGACATGGATAAATGCATCAGTTCCATAGATCGAACAATATGTCTGGGAGCTAAATTTGTAAATAGTAATATTTCGGAGTGTTGTAATTATCCCTTATTGTAGCAACATATGGGCACTTGTAAATTAAGCAATTAAATTGTAGGTTTACTTGATTGATTTATTTTTTTTCAATTATAACATATGGAAACTTGTAAATCTTTTGTTTTATGGGGGTAGTGCTTGTTTTCTTTTTCTAAATCCAAAATAATCATATAATTTTTGTTGGCACTACCCTAAACCCACCTATTATAAGAAAGAAATTCAAAAGATTTAAAAAAATTTTAACTCCTTTAATGATTTTTTAGATCAAATTTTTACGCTTAAATTAAACATAGGCTTTTCATTCGAATTATTAATGCTTGTTATTGCTTTTTTTTTTCATCTATACAATAAGAAATAATAAGAAAATAATTGAAAACAATTGGATGAGAAGGAAAGTGGTTGATTGAGGGATGGAGAGAAATGTACAAAGCCTCAACATAAGAAATAGGAGAAAATGAGAGGTAAAAGAGACTAATAGAAACATAAAGGCAAGAGTGAGTGGTATGGGAAGAGAGTTAGAGAGAGAGAGAGAGAGAGAGAGCAGATGGTGAGAGAGCAAGTAGAAGGGATAAATATAAGGGGCCAATATTGTTTATCAATTTTTCTTCTATTTTTTTTCCTTTCAATTTATCTTTTATCTCTCCCTCTCAAAAACCCATCTCTTAATATTCCCATCATTCCCCTTTATCTCTCTTTTAAATATCGTATCATGCACATTTATGAACTTGATATAATGATGGTATGTTTAAATCGTCTATCATCATGTTATGATAATAGAAAGTAAGCTTAAGAAGGAAGTATTATGTCAATAGGTTATCTTTCTTACCCCTCTCAGATCTCTTGTCATAAACATTCCTCGTACTCTCTCTCTCTCTCTCTCCAACATTTATTTTGATAATCATGATAAATTTTTCTTTTGCTTATTAATTTTTATGCACTTTGGATGATTAATAGAGATTGATTTGATGGTTGAAATGTGGTCTCAACCTTCTACTCATGACCAACTTTTCAGATCATTGGAAACCCCCCCCCCTTTTTTTTTTAACAAATTGATTATAATTTTATTTGTGGTTTCAACCTACTCATTGGTCTAAGAGTGATGTATAAAGAAATTTTTTTGGCTTACTCCATTATTCACATAGGGTTTGCTAGCCTCTTTCTAGAGAATTTAGAGCTATTTTTGATAATAATCATGAGTAGAAGATTGGTTCTTGTGAATATCATAGAGATGGGAAGCTTATTCTTTCCTCTATCATTAGTTAAGTAGACAATGTTTCTTCTACCCTTTTAGTGAATTAATTCACTATGTGAGCATCAATCATTGTTGTAATGATGACATGGAAAAATAATTGATAAAATGTCTTTCCACATGACAAATAACTAGTTAGATATAATTGGTTGAAGTGGTTGCCTTAATTGATAAATTGTGTTATCATAATTGATTTTTCTTATTCTTCATGGTGTATTGATTATGAAAGTAAACCAATCATATACTTATTTAGGGATCTTGCAAGATTTTTATTATAGAGTGATTTCCACACTCAATTAAATATTTCTGTTAATCTTCGTTAATTTCTTGAGTTCAAAGACATCTTAAGTTAATTCCACAAGATGGAAAAAAAAATTGTCCTATTAAAATGACTGAACATATTAATTTATATCTTAAGCATATCATTTCATTTTTATCTCCTAGTATGTCTTTTGAGAGAAAATTTGAGGTTAGAGTGAACTAATAATCTATCGAATTCATTAAAAATTGACTTATTCTCTATTTAATGGGTAACTTATATAGTTTTCAAGTAGAGGTGACAAAAGGATTGTCATATCTACACTTTGTTAATAGATTGATCAATTTATTTTCTTCTATCAAAATTTGCAAGATGAAGAAATTTTTAATTTTGTTGGTTTTAACTTAAAATTTATTGACATAATTCCTAAGGATGGAATCCTAAAAATCATACCTAATACATGATTTATTATGTGTTGTGAGCACCAAAAACTTCAAGTTTTCTTACCCCAACTCCATAAAGAGTTTGACCTATTATATAAGGCTACATAATTATCTTAATATTCATGGATTTAAAGTTAATTTGGATATATCACATGAGTGTCACACATTATGGATACTTGAGTTTGACTCCTGATTTAAAATTGGTCCCATCTATAATGAAGCCAGTAGTTTCTCATGGCTCACAAATATTAATTAGATAATGTTATGAAAATAAAATCAATTGACTTAAGTCAGAACTATTGACTGATGCATAAGAATGTCAAGGACAGTAGCTAAATTAGACTTATCATTTTAAAAGTGTGTTTGTGTATGTTAAAATTTACTAAATAAATAAAATAAAAATATATAATATTAATTTTTTTCATTACATTGAAAATATAAATAATGTAAAATTATTTTCAATAAATGTAATCAGCAAAATGACAAGAAAGTTATCTTTTATTTTATTTTATAATTTTCTTAATAATTTTGATAACTAGGAAAATTATATTCAATTGTTGTTATTAAAATTAACTGTGTCAATATCAATTTAATCAAATAAATAATAAGATGATATATGACTGATATCTTATTTTAGTTAATATTTGACATAATTAAAAAAATATCGAGAAATTCTTAAAATTTGTATTCTGAAGCGCTTCAATTTAAAGATACTATAATGAAAATTTTAAATATATTATTCTTGTATCAATGAAATCTTCAAAAAAAAGTTATTTATAAGTTAAGAAACATCATTAATTTTGATTGATTAATATCCATCTCAAATATTTAATATTGAATTAATAATTAATAATTTTATAATGTGCTCTTGAAACCTTTTATTTATGCTTTATATTTGTGTATCTAAAATGATTATGAAATGATATAATCAATTTTATAATGATATTGTATTTTTCTTACAAGATGTTGATTTCTAGCATAAGAAATATTCAATATATAATGCATATCTTTTTTCACTAAATAATTTCTCAAAATATACAAAATAATACTATCTTGTTTCTCTTAAATTTTTAAAAAAGACATTTTAATTTTAATATTAAATGCATCATATTAATGAAGTCTTTTAATTTTCTTATAATTCAATAACAAACAAAACTAATAATAGGAGACAAATAGGCGAAATACTTTCGAATATAATATGCAAAAGAGTGATCTTTGATGAACAAAATTTGATCAATTATTTGCGAATTTAATAAAAATAAAAAAAAATATCAGTTTGGTTTTGATATTCGAGTGAGAATTTGAAATTAGAAGAAAGAAGGCGCTAGATTTATAAATACATAATTTGAAAAATAAATAAAAGAATGCACTATATTTATAAATAACATTGTTTCAAAGTCCTATCATGTAGCCACCACCCCTTATAGAATTCATGCTTCTCCACTTTCTTATTAAAAAAAAAAAAAAAACAAAATTCACTCAGCAGTTCCTCACTCAGCAGTTCCTCAAGATCTGCTGCTTAAAGAATACGTTACCTAATTTTATAAATATCACCCTAATTTGATAAATTACAAAGTAACATCCTACGTAAGTTTTAATTTATAAGTGATATTATATTATATTTACCAATAATTGGTCTCACTAATATTATATCCTATTCTCAGTTAATAAAATAATACAGTCAATTTTCTATCTTAAAAACCAAACACTCTACTTTTTTTAGACTGTTCTTGACCCATGAGAACAGGAAACACAATCATCATAATCCACAGATTCCAGCTCAAGTCTTATAGGCTCTAGCATTGAAATAAATAATTCCTCCAATATCATCCAAATTAGTCAACATTATGTCACCTCCCAAAAGAGCTATTTAAGGGTGGTGGACAACCCGAGACTTAAATACTACTTTTCAGCCCTACACCTAGCCGATGTGGGACTTTTTGTCTGTGACATTCTCCTCACGGATCGACTCCACCGAAGGTCCCACTGAACCATAAAGAGTCCACACTTGGCAGACAGTAATCACTCTGTTACCATTTGTCACCTCCCAAAGAGTTCTTAGAGGTAGTGAGCAACCCAGAATTTAAATACTGTTTTTCTGCCCTACACCTAGCCAATGTGAGACTTTTTGTCCTCGACAATTGACTATATAAGAAATAATTCCTCCAATATCTATAATTAATATAATGTTTTGTGTATTTAGGACTAATCTTTTGTCCTACTTTTAATTAATAACTATCCAAAATGGACTATTATTTACCTTTGATAAAAAAAAAAAAAAAGAAACATAGCACATACCATTGCCCATGTGCGCCTATGAAAGATTTATATATCACAAATCTTTTTGTATTTATACATGCAAAACATGAATTTTTATATTTATCTATACAACATCTTGATCCAAAGCACATCAATTATATACATCAAACGGTACATTTACTTCAGATAACATTAGTAGTGTTTTTGGAATGATTTAGATGTTACATTACATATTTACATACCACAATCTTTTTATATGCACATTCCAAACACTTTAAACTTTCATATTTGCATGAATAACACTTAAATATTTGATATTACATCAAAAATATCACTTCTAGCTTTTTAAAAGGGAAAACACCCTTTCATACATAGATTTATGACACGAAGCTCTTACAAATGTAAATATCAAAATTTAGATATTGAATATGTAAATATATAAGAATTATGTGACATTTGTGTAAATTTCACTACAATTAAATAGAAAAACTAAAGCATTTATTTTAAAAAAAAAAGATATGAAATTATTACAATATCCATCTAAATCACCAAAAAATAAAATAAAATAAATAGCCCAAAAGAGTATTCGAAATATATCAAACATACATTTATAAGAACAATCAAAAGAAGCAAAAGCACTAAGTAAAACTTACTTTGTCAAACAAGATCGATGCGGCCGCCATCGACCAGACCCTTCATAGACTTGTATCTTAAAACATATAAATCGCCGGCGACCAAGTCGATGATCTCTTCTCCCCTTCGGGACGAGAAAAATCATGTTTTTATCAATAATACTGCAGTGGATTGGTAGAAGGTGGTGAGAAATTCTGGGGGGAGGGGCATAAGATAAAATATACTTACATGTCATCCAACTGGAAAGCTCCCACATTGTTCTTTGCCTTGCAAAACACAAAGGTATCCAGCTGGGGCTCTGGAACTGGAAATTACCTTTTTTTGTCAGAACTTGTTAAAAAAAAAATTGTATTCTAAAGGGCAGGAATGTTTGTGTTTTGTATTTAATAAAGGGGGGATTTTGCATTCATACCAGTTACCACAATTTTCTATTTACTTGTATAATACCCAAATATCTAAGTCACATAAAAAATATCTCTAATCTTAACTTTTCTAAAGTAAAATATATCAATTCATGTAAATGTCTTGATATAACTGAGACACTGGAATGTTATGCAAGTAAATATTAAAGTTTAAATGTTAAATATGTAAATGCATAAGAATTGTGATGTATGTATGTAAATCCCCCTTTCCCAATTCCGAAATAAAATAACCAAACCTTCAGTATTAATATTTTATAATGTAATTGTGGTACCAACTAATCTGTTTGGTAAGTTCCTTGGGAAGTTATTGCCAAGATTTTGGATTCAATCTTCACCTAAATAATAATAAAATTCCAACTTATAGATTCTCATACATATGGCACAATTCTTATGTTTTTAACAAGATGCTAGTTTTGTAAATAGCAATGTTTTGAGTGTTGTGTATGTAATTGTCAATATATATATATATATATATATATATATATATAACCCACAAACCAAGAGATATCCTTTGGAGAGTGCTTGAGAAAAAAAGGCATTGATATGACTTATATTCAAGTTTGTAAAAAAATGTATACAAGAGCTGTTACCTGTCTTTGAAGAGGATTGACCAAATATATTCCTATTTTTGTTGGTTTACATCAGGAATCAGCTTTAAGCCCATATCTTTTTGCTTTAGTAACGGATGGTCTTACTGGACACTTACAGGAGGATGTACCATGGTGTATGCTTTTTGCTGATGATATTTTGCATGCTTTTTGCTGATGATATCCTTCTCGTGAATAAGACGAGAGAAAAAGCTCACGAAAAACTTGAATGATGGAAGTCTACCTTGGAGTCTAAAGGCTTTCGTTTGAGTAAAACTATATCTGAATATATGGAATGTAATTTTAGTAGTAGTAGCTTTAGTGACAGAAATGTAACTATGGGTGATCTAATTATTAAAATGTGTGAACGCTTTAGATAACTCGGGTCTCTTGTTCAAAGTGATGGTGATATTGATGGGGATGTTAATTATTAGAATTCAAGTTGGTTGGTTGAAGTGAAGGAATGCTTCGGGCCTATTGTGTGATAGAAAAGCACCGCTTAGACTGAAAGGATAATTTTATAATAATTTTATAAGATGGATAAGATGGTGGTGAGACTTGCAATGCTCTATGGTGTTGAATGTTGTCTTTTAAAAGAGAACATAAAACTAAGTTAAGTTTTGTCGAGATGAGAATGATTAGGTTGATGAGTGGCTTTACAATTAGAGACAAAATGCGAAATGAATATATTTGTGATAGGGTTGGTGTAGCTCCAGTAACGAACAAAATTAGAGAGAGTCATCTTAGATGGTTTGGTCACAATAAACGTCGACCATCTAATGATCCGATTAGAAGAGTGGATGTTTTAGATTCGACTTAAGTTAAGAATGACAGAGGTAGACCTAGGAAGACTTGACCATATTGTATAAAAAATGAACTTAATTTATTAGAATTAAATGAAAATATGACACAAAATAGGATGCAAAAAGAGAAAAATGATTCATGTAGCTGACCCCACTTGGTGGGATAATAGTTTTGTTATTGTTGTTGTTGTCGTTGTTGTACCCACAAATCACTAACAGAGGAGAGCATAAGTGGGAGTAGCCAAGATCGATAGCAACAAAGGGTCATAGAAAAATAATCTATCATGTTGAATCCATAACATTGTCGGAGCATGTACGAAACCAAGAAACGCATTAACAAGAGCAGCTGATCAGAAGGTGGGCAGCATTTCAGGATGCTATCCTCACTGCTAGTGTCATGATCAGAAAGGTGTTCAAAAGGAAAAAGAAAAATCGAGAATTCAACACACTAACCATCAATTGAATGTATAAAACATGTGATGTATTTTTGAACGGTAGTTAGAACGATGCAATGAAAATATAATGATCGGATAATGACAGCTTATAAGTAGCAGAATTTGAACTAAAACGTGTTTCTAACATATATACTACATCAATCTATAAAGCTCGAACACGGACACAGGGACACCAACATGACACGATACAGTAATACGATATAATTGAAGAAAATAGGATACACAACATCATGGACACGTTTTATAATTTAATTAATTATTAATTTAAACGATATTTTTTTCATTATTCTTTATTAAAGACATCACAAAATAAAATATGCAAGAATAAAATTTACCTTTATAAATTTAACTTGTATTATGAAACCTCATGTTTATAAAATTTAATTTTCAAAATTTGACAAATAATATGTTTCAAAACAATTTCCCTAACTTATCTATTAAAATTTAAAATATCCTACAATTATACATTGTTTAATTAATTAAGTTAAAATTAACTTTTAGGATTAGAATAAGTACAGATTTATAACTATTAACTCATTAAAGATTAACAAAAATATAAATTATCAATTACAAACTAGGGCTGCTTTAACTCCACTTAGCTTCAATGAATAGAAGCTTAAGTGCAAGCGTCACAAAGTTTGCGAACAATTTGGATTGGCTTCTACGGACATGTTTGACTCATGCTCGAGTTGTGATAAAGGAGCTTACAGATTTCATTTTGGCAGGTGTAGGTTCGACTTCAATGAACAAAAGAGAACTAAAACACTCGACGAGTGTAATATGGACATTTGATGCTCAGCTTCGAAAAATAAAGAGGGAACTAGTGCTTGGCAAATATTAGAGAAAGCTTTAACATTACAAAATTAGAGACAGCTTCAACTACAAGGTATAACTAGTGTTATACGTGTATTTATGATTTTCTACATCAAACGTCTCATTTTTCCCAAATCGTGTTGAGTTCATGTCTGATGTGATGTTGGGGCGTGAGTGTCAGTCCAAAAAAAAAAACAGTTACATATTCTGCACTGTCGAGTCGAACAAGTGTTGAGGTGTTTTCGAAAAGTGTCGATGTCCAATACGTGTTGTACACAGGTACGACATATTTTAGAAGGTGCTACATAAACATCAACAAAACCACTAATTTTAGAATTAGATTGATTACTGGTTTTCAAATCGACAAACTCTTGCCAATTAAGCAAATTTTTAATCAGTTTTAGTTATTGTTGCGCTATCATGCCAAAACAAAAAATAAAGTAAATTTGTATTTAGAGCAGCTGTGATAATTTTAGGCAAAGCAAAGCTCTTCCAGGTGCATTTGCTGATACTTGAAAAAAAAATATATTTGCATATGATCAATGTAGTTCTATAGAATAGCACTTTTCTCTAATTTAGTCCATTGAATTTACAAAAATGATTCAAAATGATCCAACATGAAGAAATTATGATACAAATTTGATCTTAATTTAGTCCCTCAAGCATATAAAATTGATCTCAATTTAGTCCCAAGAGAAACATTTTAGATCAGTTTTGCAAAGTTGAGATTAGGTAGTCTCACGAGTAAATTAATGGAATAAGTTGATATGATGGTTCACAGGAAGATAGATATCTTATGTATTCAAGAACCCAAAAGAGTTGGAGAACAAAGTAAGGAGAATGATGGCTTAGGTTTTAAACATAGGTAGTAAGGTAGGAGTCACACTAGAAATGGTATAAGAGTAATTATATAAAAGAGTTTGAAAGATAATGTTGTAAAGTTAATAGAACTGAAGATAGAAAGCACTAAAGATTGTTCTTGATACTAAAATTTTTAGCCTTACAAGTGCTTACACTCCTTAAGTAAGTTTAGATATAGATTCAAAAGAAAAATTTTGGAATGACCTAGAAGAATTAACACCAATGATACCTTTTTAAGAAAAAAATTTTATTGGAGGAGATTTAAATTGACAAAATGTAGAGTATTGGAAGATTTTATAAATATTCATGGTAGCTATAGTTTTGGAGTGATTAATGAAGAATGTAGAGTCATATTAGATTTTATTTTAGCGCAGGATTTTGTTATTGCGAATATTTTATTTAAGAAAAAAGATGCGCATATTATTACCTATAAGAATGGATCTAATAAAAATCAAATTGATTATTTTCTTATGAGAAAAAAAAGATTGTAGTGATTGTAAAGATTGTACAGTCATTTCAAGTAAAAATTTAAGTACTCAAAATCGATTATTAGTTCTAGATTTTAAAACAAAGATTTGTAAATAAATGAATACAAAGAAAATTTATCATAGAATTAGATGGGGGCATCTAAAAATCAAATAAAAATATCTTTATGAGTAATCATCTAGACTTTAAGATTTGAGATGTTATGAAGAAGCAAATTCTATGTGGAATAAACTAACAAACACTATTAAACAAGTGACAAAAGATATAACTAGAGAATAAAAAAAATCATAAATAACAATAGTTGACGTTTGAATAATAATGTGCAAAAAAATATAAAATATAAGAAATTGTGTTATAATAATTGGTTTAAATATAAAAGTTTAAAAAACTAGGAAAAATATAAAGTGACCCATAGGGAATCTAAAAGAATAATTTGTGACGCTAAAAATTCTATTTTTAGTGATTTTTATAATAGATTAGATACTAAAGAGAATGAAAAATATATTTATAGACAAATCAAACAAAGATAAAAGAAAAGTAAAAATTTAATTCAAGTGTCTTAAAGAAGAAACTCACAAAGTGTTTTTTAGTAGATGAAGATATTCAACATAGATGGTGAGTTATTTTAATAAACTTTCCAAAAAGTTTCTGAAAAATAAAATCAAATTTAGTGATCTTAATATAATTAATAATAATAAAATGTTTTATTTTACTTTTGCATCAGTAAGAAGAAGTTGAGTAAGCTTTAAGGAAAATCACTGGTGAAAAACCATTAGGACCTGATGATTTCCCAATTGAAGTGTGGAAATATTTAGAAGATTTGAGAGTTTCTTGATTTATTAAACTCTTTAATATTATTTTAAAAATTAAAAAATGC